TCTATTTTAAACATGTAGTCATTTTCAACCCCAATTTTATGTGTGCATATTTGTATCCTCTCTCTTAAAAGATTCCCCAAATTGTGTAAGCTTCAGACTCCCACAAAATTTGGAACATCTCCTAGACAGTCCTACAGTATTAGCTCAATAAATGTTTGATTAATTACCACTTCAAAGTACAATGAGCTCCTAGAAACAAAATAAAATAAAATACATCTCAAACACACAGTAAAATAAACATGGGGGGGGTTGCTGGAAGATCGATAAGTGTCAAGGTAGAGAGCCTCTCGGAGAGAAACAACTCAGATGCTAGAATTTAACATCATGGAGAAGACCAGATGAAAGGAGAGGGTTTCTCACAATCCAGGAAGAAACTAAGGTGTGGAGAAAAAAAAAAAACATGGACAGAAGACTATAGCCAGATATGCGCTCACCAGAGCTGGTCACACGGTGTGTGAGGCACCGCTGGAGTTCAAGGACAGAGGGTCATGGTGAAGTAGGGGGTTGGTGAGCCCGAGGGCTTCAGTGGGCTTCGGTGGGTGGGACAGACATGTCGCAATGGAGAACAGAGCCAGTGTGGAGATCTGTGCCAGCCTGTGGTGAGTGCTCAGAGTTTGTTTCTCCTGTGGGAGGCGGTGATCAGGTGACATTTTGGAGTTGGGCAGAATGGGCCTGAATCCGGAACTGTAGTGGTTTCAATTGGCTGCTCCTGGCACAGAATAAATTGGTGGGAACTGCTTGGACTGGGTCCTGCTCCTGTAGAAGATCCAATAGCCAGGGACAAAGTTTTCCCTGAAGCTGTCTCAAACTTGTTCCATCTGCATGGCAGACACTAATGTGGTGAAGACCCCTGGTGGCTGAGAGGGGAGGGGCCAGCCTGCATGGCCCCTGCTGGTACCTCAGTGGTCAACAGCAGACTGGAGAGGGCAGAAATCCCTAGCCAGCATGCTTCAGAGTAACTGTAACCAATACAGAAAGGGCCTACGACCTCTACTATACACTTGTCTGGAAAAAAACAGAAACATGACAAGAGAAAGAAACAAAAGGAACCCTCCAACCCAAACAATATTGGTCCAGGAGAGGTAAACACAGAAGAGATCGAGGGCAGCACACCTACCATATCAGAAGCAACATCATCTGACAGAAAGAAATATCTTTGTGATATTATAGAAGAACTCAAAACAGAAATACTAGTACAAGTAAAGGAAGATATAAGAAGATTAATAAAAGAAATGCTAAGCACCTCTCAAGACGTAGGTAGAAGAATGGAAGAGCATAGAAAAAAAAGGGAAACCTTCGATGAAGAATATAAACAAAATCTAGAATACATGAAATAGATTCAAAGAGATTACCAGGAATTAAAAACTATTGAAAGCTGGCAAAACTGCTTGAAAGAAACTAAAGATAAGACTATGAAAACTTGAAGACAGGTTTGTAATTTGTGATCTTAAAAATAACAAGGAACCAGAAAGTAACAATACAAAAGCTAGAAGATGACAAGAGGATCTATAACTTATGAATAAAAAATGTGAGTGAAGAAGCAGGGGTAAACACAAATGAAATACAAAGGATATTCACAAAAATAATTAAGGAAACCTTCCCAAGCATAGGAAAAGGAAATGATACTCAGTTATATGAAGCATACAGAACTCCAGCCAGCTACAACCAAAATGGATCTAGACCCAAACATGTAACAATCAAGATCCCAGAAATTCAACACAAGAACAAAATATTAAAAGCTGTCAAGAGAAAAGATCACCTATAAAGTAAAATTCATCAAAACAACATCAAAATCTCGACACAAACCATCAAATCAAGAAGGGCTTGGAGTGAAGTATTCCAAGCCCTGAAAGAAAATAACTTCCAATCCAGACTGATGTACCCTGAAAAGCTATCTCTTAAAATTAATGGATAAACAAGATGCTTTCATGACAAAGAGGAACTGGAGGAATTCGTGACCACCAATCCAACCCTACAGAAAATACTAAAGGACATTCTAGGGGGAGAGAGAAAAACAAAACAAAACATGATTTCAGGAATAGTGGCAGAGACTGCAGTGAATGGGGCAGACAGTGGAATGAAGGGGAAAAATAGACAACCAATGGCAGAAAAATACCATAGCAGAGATGAGGCCAGAAGGTTGGCTATAATCACTAACATAGATGGTCTTGATACACTAAGAAAAAGAAACACAGGCAGAGTAGATCAGGAGATAGGGTCCATCGAGATGCTCTGTATAGGAAATATAATCAACTTTAAAGAGGGTTTATGGACTGAAAGTCAAAGATGAGAAAATAATGCTCTATGTGACAGGAAACCAGAAAGAAATAGGGACAGTTTGTCCAGCAGCAGCTGCAGATAGGCTGGAAAGACATGACACTTTGTGCAGTGGAGAATTACTCACCTATAAGAAAGGAAAACTTTGAGGATTTTGTAGGTAAAGGAATACAACTTAAGATCAAGCTCAGGGGTAAAAAGGCTCAGAACCACCTAGGTAAATAGAAAGTTACCTCCCTAATCTAAAAACTAAAGGAGTTAGTGGGAATCAAAATGTACAATGCACCCTGTGAAAGTTAAAGGGGAGGAACTGTCTAAACAGGGAAGGCAGAGAACATGGTTAATACTGTGTCATGATTTAAAATCCATGTTGTCCTCATCTCTCTGCTTGGTTCGGTTATATTGTTTCAGTTTGTCTACTTGTACTAGATTTGAGGACACAGACAACTATTCCAAAAATAACAGGATATACTACCGGAACCATCCTTAATTTCCTATTAACTTAATCTGAAGTCCCATATTACTTACACGGTCTTATAACTCATTTTATTTGAATCTTGTTTGTTAGATTGCTGTCTTATCTTGACTGATTTTATTCGAATCTGTATTGACAGTATCAAGTCTAAGGGTATAGGCAACTACTCTGAAGACGGTCAAGATTCACTAGGATATCCATTCTGGTTTGACTATTATCCACTTTTGAAGTCCTATAATGTCTCCAATGCTTTGTTTTTATTGATATTGTTCTGTACTTCTATGTTCAATTTTACTGTGCCTGATGATATAGGCAATTCTATTGAAAACAAGAGACATCGTAGTAACCATTGTAGATCATTTGTATTGTGGTTTTAAACCATGTACTATGTCCATCCTTTTGTTTTGAATGACCTCATTTTGTTTTCTTTTTCATTTGGCTTTATTCTTTTCAAAATAAAAAAAATTAAAAAAAATAAATTAGTGGTTTGACAGTAAAATCACTATCTGTCCTACTAGAGCCTTTAAAAATTATGACAGTCAATATTGAATATCAGATGAATTTCATGCCCAATATTGTAATGTCTAATTGCCTACCTTCAAGGATCCATCCAATTAAGACTGCTGGAGCTATAGTTATGTAAAACTAGTATTTTTCCTCAATAATGAATTGTTTCCAAAATTTTAAGTAGTTGGTAGTATAAACATAAAGTATACAAGAAAAAGGAAAAGTATAATTTAACTTCTCACATGCATTGTGGGGTGTTAGAGAGCTTCAGGCCTTTGAGCGCACTGGGTTGGGCCAGGATGACCCTGTGCAACAGCTGCTCCACTTTCTCTCTGCCCCTGCATTTCCAGTGTCCCCACCCCTCACTTCCTGTCATGGGTGGTTCTCAGGAAGTCTTGAACCTTGAATGGATCCTGAACAAGGCACCAAATAAAATCTCATTTATATCCTCTTTGATCAGAGTCAGGGCCTGAAGCTTAACATAGGTGGTCAGGAATAAGCTGTCAGTAGGGCTGGCTGATGTGGAAGCTGGAAATTGCACGCCTGTAATCCCAACACTCCGGGTGGAGGCGTGTTGCTGAGGCAGGAGGATCCTTCCAAGTGAGACCACCCTGGGCTACAAAGTGAGTTCAAGGCCAGCCTGAAGTGCACAGCGAAAATCTTGTCCCGAAAAGACATAAAACAAACAAACAAAATATATTTTCTGACCACAATGAAATTAAATGAGATATTAATTACAGAAAGATACCTGCAAAATTTCCAAATAACTGGAAACTAAAAAATTTCTAAGTAATTTATGAGTCAAAGAAATACAAACAAAATTTATAAATGATTTTTCATTGAATTGAAAATACAACAACATCAAAATTTGTGGAATGTTGCTAAAGCAGTACGTGGTGACAAATTAATAACCCTAAATGCCTGTACCAGAAAAGAAGAAATGTTTTAAGCCAATGACCTCAGTTTTCACCTTAAGAAATTAGGAGAAGAGCAAAGAAAACCTAACGTAAGTAGAAAAGGACAATTAAAATCAATGCATTAGAAAATTGAAAAATAGGGAAAATAAACAAATTCAAAAACTGTTCCTTTGAGAATCATAATAACATTGAGAAATCTCTAATTAGACTGAACAGGAAAAAAGGAAAATGCCAATACCAGAAAGAAGAGAAGTTGTATCACTACAGATATTACAGGTAATGAAAGAATAACAGATATTATTATGACAATAAATTTCACAACTTAACCATAATAGACAAATTCTTTGAAAGGTACAACCTACCAAAGCTCACTCAAGAAGAAAAATGATCTAAATATTCTTGTGTCCATTGTATTTATTAAAGAATCAAAACCGCAGCTAAAAATTTTCCCCAATGACGAAAACTCCAGACCCAGATGAGTTCATTAATAAACTATCAAATGTTTAAGGAAGAATATTACCAATTTTATACAAATTTCAAAAAAAACCCCAAAAAACAGGAGATAATTCTCAACTCATTTTATGAGGTCTGGAAACCCCAAAAAAGAGAGCATTATAAGAAAACTACAGGGAATATCCAGTTATATCTTTATGCAAAAATTCCAAACAAAATTTTAATAAATCAAAAAAATATGTAAAATGGATGATATATTAAGTCTAAGGTTTATCTCAGCAATTCAAGGTAGTCTTAATATTTTTAAAAATGTAATGAATCTTATAAACAAATTAAAACACAAAAACCATATGGACCTCAATAAACACAAATTTGACAAAATTCAATATTTATTTATTTGTCATTAGGGAAATACAAATTCGAACCCCAATCTGGTGTCACCTCAAGCCTAGTGCAGTGGTTAATTGTTAAGAAGGTTGAGCATGTGGGACTTCATACACTGTCAGTGAAAATTTAAAATGCAGCACAACTTTGGAAAGTTCAGGTCTTTAAATGATAGACATACATTAACCATCCTTTCTACTTTGGGTATTTATCCAGGAAATGAAAAAATATATGTTCATGCAAAGACTCCACATGAATGTTCACACAAGATTTATTTATAATAATCAAATACCGTAAACAGCCCAAATGTCCATCAATAGTTGAATTAGGAAACAAATTATGGTATATGCATGGAATAAAATATAATTCAGAAGTAAAAAGGAATGAATTATTAGTATACACTACAATGTGGATGAATTTAAAAATAATTATGCTTAATGAAAAAAGTCAGAGAAGAATACATAATATTGAATTCTACTTATATAAAATCCTGGAGAATATAATCTATAGTAACAAAAAGCAGATCAGTGGTTGCTTCAGGATGATAGTACAAAGAAAGAGAGGTGAGAAATTATACATAAGCATAAACAACTTTTTTTTTAGGTCATGGAAATGTTTATCTTGAACATAGGTACATTCATATGTAAAAATTTATCAAACTATACACTTTAAATATGGTCAACTACTTATAGATCAATTACACACCAATAAAACTATTTTAAAGCTCACCCTTAATTTTGGTTTTCAGCACCCAAAACAAATTTAGGTTAAATTGTTCCAAAGTCACATGACTTCAAGATACTAGCTTTATTTGCTTCTAAAATGCACCTTATCCCTGTGAAATACACTTGTCTGGTTAATTGCACAATTAATGGGTCATAAAGTCCACAGTCAGGCTCTCCCTATACACACAGACAAGGTTTAAGTAATTAACATTCTTCTTCATCATCATCTCTCCTTATCTTGATTCGGGGAAGAGGGGTTGGGCATATGAAAAAGATTTTAATATAAAGGAAGACACCTAATAGATTGTTAGATATTTATGAAGAGAAACTAGACAATGCATCGTAATATCCAAAACATAAATATAAGGTTTTTCTTCACCTTTACTTCCTAGCTCTCTTTTCTTTCTCCTTGGGATCCCTTTCTACTTTAAAGACTTCTTCCCCCTCCCTTTCCTGTCCCTGCACCTCCTTCCACTCCCCTGATCCCCATGTTCCCCAAGTGCTGACACGGTTGTACAGTGGTCCAGATTACACCACAGACTCTGGAGCAGGCTGCCCAGCTCAGATTTTATGCTCACTGTGTTAGGGTTGAAATTTAATATCACATGCTTTAGCTCCCCTATCGATAAATAGGGTAAAAGCAAACCTACTTTCCTTATAGAGTTGATGTGGAGATTAAATAAATCGGTATGGTTACCCTTCTGAGAGCCTCCACTCTGTGCCAGGCACATTAGAGCCCAATCAGTTCAATGCAAACAGCCCTATGCTCAGTACCATGCAGAGGACCTGAGATTCCAAGGCCCAGCGCTTAGCTGGGTTCAGCCAGTCTAGTTCTCTGATGTTGACTGTGTGACCTGTACATCAGAGTTTAAATTGCTTATTGGTAAAATGAGAGAAGCTTGATGCAGAAGACTGTATTTATGGTCCTTTCCTGCTTTGCCACTGCTTTCAGTAATTCAAAAGTACAAAACATATTATAAGGTGCAAAGCAACTGAGAAATGGCATAGATCTTTATGTTACCATGAAGGCTATTTGTTACTTAGCAAGAGAGAGAGAGCTAACACTGCAATGCATGGACATGACGCTTCTTAAAATTCTAGTAGAACATTAAGTTAGTTTAATGTCTTATGAGAAATTGCAAAAACTGTTTGATTCTTCTCTTCTGAAATTGAGCATATTCAAAGTTCAGGTTCTGAACTCCACACTTCCAAAGTTGCGCGTGATGTCTCTTGAGAGGTTAGCAGTTGGTGTGCTTCATCTGTGAAGGGAAGATGCACCGTTAGCTTGGCCTCAGTGGCCCAGCAGGGGAAGTCTTCATTTCAGCAACATTCTTCAGATATTGTCTCCTTCAAAGTCAAGCACCCTGAGTGGTGAATGAAGTAATCATAAAAATTAGCGTGCACATGGCTTACTTTGTGTGACATTCCCTGGACTAAATATAATGTTCTACATATAATGCTGTGATTTAAGAATAATGCTCAACTTTTACAAGGCAGGAGGACATAATGTAGAAACTTAGCTTGGCCTCATTCACAAGCTTTTTTTTTTTTTTTTTTTGTACCAGGGATTGAACTCAGACCTCACACATGCCAGGCAGGCGCTTGTGCTGCTGAGCTAAATCACCAGCAAACCCCACACCCCCTTGCCTTTTTAAAGATGTGACTAGATCTGGCTCTGGAACTGCACGGGCAGCAGGGCTTCCTGTGATGGGAAGGAAGCTCCCTATTGGGAGAGATTGCCAAACATGCCAGAAATTTCTAACACTGCAATAACTGATGCAGAAGTATCACAGTTCTACTGGGTCAAGTCCTTATCCACAAACCACCACACTGATTACCCTGATAATGGATGCCAAGTCCTCCATCTTATTATTGCTTTTAACCTTTATTAATTTTTAGTCTTTTAATTTACTATGTTATTAATTGCTAATTTCTTTTCTATTGTTAATGGTGGTACAGTTGCTGTTTTTAATTTTTTTTTTTACTGCTTGTCAATATCTGGTTTGTCTTTCTGTTGGCATCCTTACTATGATTAGTTTCACCCTTCTGGGTAGTGTTGAGGATCAGGCCTTTGAAAACAAGGCTGGAAACTAAGAAGAACCTCAAGGAGAAGAGCCATTCATCTCAATAGATGCACAAATATCAATATAGAAACACAAGAAATACAAAAAAACAAGGCAACACAGCTCCTCCAAGTCTCTCATCAGTAACAGAATGCAAAGGTATCAAAGTGGATTAAATGCAAAAGAATTTGAAAGACTGATTTTTAAAAAGCAATCAATTACTTCAAGTAGAATTTAAATAAACAACTAAATAACTAAAGAAAGATAATATGGAATATGAAGGAACAATTCAACAAAGAGACAGAGATTCTAAAGAAAACCAAACACAAATTCCGAAAAGCAAAAGTCAGTTTAAAAACTCAGTGCAAAACCTCATTAAACAGGATCAAGAAGACAAATTTCAAGGCTGTATAATAAGGTTGAAGAATAATTACACGTAGACAGTAGTAAAGAAAAATCACAAAAAATTATGGACAAAACGTCCAAGAACCAAAGGACATGAGTAACAGACTAAATTTATGAATTTTTGATGTAGAAGAGGGCACAATGTCTCAGACTAATGATACAGAAAATCTATTCAGTAAAATAATAACAAAAAACTTCCAAATGTTAGGAATGATAATACATCAAGTGCAAGAGGTATTTTGTTTGTTTTGTTTTTGTTTTGAGACAGGGTCTTGCTATGTTTTCTTGGCTGGCCTTGACCTCAGAATGATCCAGAATGGCTTTGAAATCACAGTGATCCTCCTGCCTAAGTCTTCAGAGTTCTGGGGTTACAGGCATGTAATACCATACCCAGAAGGAGGCATTTTGAACCCCAAACAAGTATGACCAGAAAATAATAATCTCATGTCATATTATATAGTTAAAATAAAAGAGTACAGAACAAGAAAAATCTATTGAAAGCTGTAAGAGAGAATCACCAAGACACTTATAGGCAAACTCATCAGAATAACTTCAGACTTCTCTATACAAACCCACCTAAAAGGCCAGGAAGATACGTAACAAATTCCTAAAAACAAACAAAAAAAACCCAAACAAACAAACAAACAAACAAAAAAAACAGCAGCAGCAGCAACAACAACAAAATCTGCCTAGATTATTATACCCAGCAAAGCTGTCCTTAAAAATATAGAAATGAAGACTTTTCAGGATGACCATAAACTAAAGAAATTCATAACTAGTAAGCCAGTTTTTCAGAAGACATTTAAAGGAATCCTACACATAGAAGGGGGAAAGAAGATAAGCTATTGAGAATTAGCAAAGAAATTAGAAAAATAACAAAATGATAGAAATAGAACATACCTTTCTGTAATAATTTTTGAAGTAAACAGATTTAAATTTCCAATTGAAAGACATGCATGGGCTGAATGAATCTTAAAAAGGACTTAACTCTTTGTTGCCTGTTAGAAACAGGTATCACTAGCAAAGACACACACAGTCTGAAAGTGAAAAGATGGAAAACAATATTCTGTACAATTGAAAACTGTAAGAAATCAGGAGTAGCTATAATCATATTTGACACAGCAGATTTCAGGACAATATAATCAGACAAGGGGAAAATGGCCAGTATATACTGGTTAAAAAGAACAAAGAGAAGATAAAAGAATTGTAAATATAAATTCACTTAACTCTGGCCTACTCAATTATATAACATAAACACTACTCAGCATAAAGGGCACATAGGTCCCAGTACAAAACTAGTATTTTTAATGCTCTATTCTTATCAACAAAAAGGTCATCCAGGCCCAAAAAAAAAAAAAATCAACAAACAAACATCAAACTTAAACTACATCACACAACAAATGGACTTCTATAAAATACTTCACCCAAAACTACAGAATATATATTATTCTCAGCAGCTCATTGAATATTCTTCAAAATAGGTCATAAAGAAAGCCTTAAAAAATAAAACAAAAATGAAGAGAATTTCTGGCCTTCTATCAAGTCAAAATGGAATAAGACTAGGAGTCAACAACAAGAGACACTATACACACACTTGGAGACAGAACAATTCATTTTTGAACAACCAGTGTGTCACTGAAGAAATTGGATGGGGGTGTGACTAAAAGATTTCTAAAATTAAATGAAAATGGAAACACAATAGACCCAAATCCCTGGGATACAGAGAAGGCAGTTCTTAAACAGAAGGTTATAGCTATGAGTACCTACATCAAAAAATTAAGGCACTCTTCAATAAATAACCTAATGATGCATCTCAAGGTCTTAGAAAAATGAGAACAAACCAAAATCAAACTCAAGCAGAGAATTAACAAAGATTACAGCTACAACTAGTGAACTATAGATTAAAAGAATAATATACAAATTTTAAGAGTTGGTTCTTTGAAAAATAAACAAGGTTGATGTATATTCAGCCAAACTATCCAAAAGAAGGAAGATCCAAATCAATATGACTAGAGATGAAAAAAGGGAACATTACAACAGACACCACTGAAATCCAGAGGATTAACAAACCTCTGAAATCCTGTTTTCTCACGTGAGAATTTAAAGGAAATGGATACATTTCTACACACAGGAGCTACCGGATGGAATGAAGAAGGATTTAGAAAACCCAAAAGGATCAATAACAAGCAGTGACATAGCAATTATGAAAATTTTCCAACAAAGAAAAGCTCAGGACCAAACAGGTCACTGATGAAGCAAAAGTATAAATAAGGACAAAAATGTATACTACATATTATCAGATAAGAATACAATGCTCAAATGAGAAGAGGAAGTAGAGAGAAAGGAAGGGAAAAGGAAAAAAAAGAGCAAAGAAAGAAAAAAATGGAAACAATTTTTTTTGTGTGTGTGAATAGGCAGGAGAAGTGAGGTTGAATATAGGGTAGAGGATTAGGAAAAAAAAGAATTAAGTAAAAATTTCCTGTAATGAACCTTTCTGTATATCTAAAATGTACCAATAAAGTTAACTTAAAAAAGAAAAAGAAGGGCATATTTCTTAAATAATTTTCTTGCTATAAAAAATTCTTAGTAAAATACAAACCAAATTCAGTAACACATTGAAAAGATCATATACTATGATTAAGTCAATTTCATTCCAGGGATGCAAGGATGGTTCATCACAAACAAATCAATAAATAGAACTAAGGAAAAAAGTCACATGATTATTTCAAGTGATGTAGAATTGACAAAATTGAAAATCCTTTCATGATAACAGCTCCAAAGAAACTAGATCTTGAAGGATCCTATCTCAATACAGTCAAAGCCATATATGGCAGCCACAGTCAACGTCATTATGAAGAGGGGGAAAGTGAAAGCATTTCCTCTAAAATCAGAAATGAGGCAAGTATTTCCATTCCCTCCTCTCCTATTCAATATAATTCTTGAAATTTTAGCTTGAGCAAGTAGGTAAGAGAGAGGCATAAAAGGGACAAGTAGGAAAGAAAAAAAGTCAAATTATTCTTGTTTTCAGGTGACATTTTCTTACATTTAAAAGACTCTAAAGAGTCCACCAAAAGATTTTAGAGTTGATAAATGAATTCAGACACATAGCAAGTTATAAAATCATCACTAAAAATCAATAGCTTTTCTATACACAAATAGTGGATTAGCTGAAAAACAATTCCATTTGGAATATTTTCAAAACAATCTGTGCATCAATCTAATAAAGAAAGCAAAGGACTTCTACAGTGAAAATTTCATAAAACTGAAATGAAAAAAATTAAAGAACACACTAGAAGATTGTGAGACATACCATGTTCATGGATTGTCAGAATGGATATTGCTAAAATGGCCTTAACAAAAGCAATCTATACATTCAGTGCAATCCCCATTGAAATATCAATGAAATTCTTTACAGAACTAGAAAAAAGGAATCCTAAAATTCATCTAGAAATATAAAAGACTCAAAATAGCCAAATAAATCTTAGGTAAAAAGAGCAAGGCTTTAGGTATCCCAATATCCAATTTCAAATTATACTGCAAAACCTTACTAACCACATGGAATTCACAAAAAAATAGACACAGACCAATGGAAAGGAATAGAGGGCATAGAAATAAACCCACACAACCATATCTACCTAATTCTGAACAAAGGAGTCAAAAATGTCTTAGCGAAAAGACAGCAAGCAGATGGTGCAGGGAAAACTAGATATCCATAAATAGAAGATTGAAACTAGATCCTTATGTTGTGCCATGTCTAAAAATCAGTTTTAAAATGGATAAAGGACTAGATATAAGACCTGAAACTTTGAAACTGCTAGAAGAAAACATAGAGGAGACACTTGAAGTTACAGGCACAGGCAAAGATTTCCTGAATAGAACTTGAATAGCACAGGAAATAACAAGAATCAATAAACAGGACTATATCAAATTCAAAAGTTTCTACATAGTAAGAAAAACAACAGAATGAAGAAAAAAACTATGAAATGGGAGAACATCTTTGCCAGTCACTCTTTTGACACAGGATTAATAGCTAGGATATATAAAGAACTAAAAAAAAAAAAAAATGAAAACAAGCAAATAGCCCATTCAATACATGAACAAAAGAACTGAACTGACACTTCTCAAAAGAAGTATGAGAGGCCAGTAAGTACATTAAAAACATGTTCAACATTTAGCCTTGAGGGATCCCCAAATCAAAACTACAGTGAGATTCCATCTCATCCCAGGTACAGTAGCCATCAAGAATACTACAAATAACTGCTGGGGAGAACATGGGGGGAAAGTATCCTATCTAAACTGCTGGCAGGAATGTAAATCAGTAGAGCCCCTAGGAAATCAATATGGAGGTTCCTCAAAAAACCAAAAATGGCGCCACTATTTGATTCAACTATACCACTCCTCGGTATACACCACAAGGAATTACAGTCAGCTTTCTGCAGGGATACCAGCGTACCGATGAGTGCTGCAGCACAATTTGTAATAGCCAAGGTATGGAAGGCAGCCAAGGTGGCCAGCAACAAATGAATGAAAAAGCAAATGTGGTACCTACACATAGCATTAGCCAGCTGCAAAGAATCCTTTTTGTCATTTTCAGGAAAATAGATGATCTGGAGACCATCATGTGACTAATACAGTATCACATGTTCTCCCCAATATGCAGAATCTACAAGTGGTGACGTGAAGGTAGAATGGAGACTGCCCTGCTTTACTAGGTAGGGAGTAGGCGGGGAGGCCTGGATGTAAGGGAGGGTCCTGGGCCATGAGTACGATCCAAATGCAGGTACTGAAATCCAGTATTTGATGACGTTATGTACTTCCAAGAAATAAAAAAATTTAAGTAAAATTTGGAAATACGGTAAATAAGATACAACTTCACAGAAATGTACTTTCATTTTACTGTATTTCCTACTAATATTTCCATATAGCTAACATCATTTATATGTAATATTTTGCTGTATACTTACAATGCTCTTTATATTTCTATATATCACTTTTATAATTGTTTTAATATCAAAATAATACTATATTATAGTTAAATTCTAATGTGATAAATTGCTTTCTTATTGTTAGACATAGTGTTAAGTTCTTATAAATATTTGTGTACCAACATTTGTATTTTTCTCTTTATTTCAATGAATTAGAATTACAAGATTAGAGTCTATATATATCTATAACTATATATTTTTGGTTTGTTTGTTACAGAGTTTCACTAGGCACTTCAGGCTAGCCTTGAATCCAGGCTGGCCTCAAACTTCCAGCGATCCTCCTGCCTCAGTATCCCAAGAGCTGGGATTACAGGTGTGCACCATCACATCCAGCTGAGTTAACGTATTTTTAAGACCTTTTATACATTTTACCAAACAGTTATGCAAAAATATCCTCCACTAACGTATATGAGAATATTTCATCTTATGGCAATATGGTCAATATTCAGTGTTAGCTCAGTGAAGAGAAAAATCTATGCAAATTTGATAGTAAAAGAGTATTTCACTGCAATTTTATTTATATTTATCCAAATACTAATTATATTTATCCTTTTGTTTTTGCTTTTCTACCAATAACTGTTCACTCTTTTCATTTTTCATTCAATTAATGAAATTACTAGGTTTTACGGTATTTGTTAAAACAGTAAAATATTAGAATTCACTTTATTGGTTGATTTAAATATTTTCTTTAAAATATTCTGAAAGTTACAGTTTATTGGTAGAAAAAATATAAGGCATACATGTTTATAAATATCATGCACAGACATATTAAATATATATTCTCCAAATAATGATTTGTTTTGTCATGCCATTTGGAATCATTTTGCAGGATTATGGTTTTACTTTTACACCTAAATATATTACATTTACATCAAAAGGAAAACACGGTGATAAAAGCACAACTCTGAGAAACTTAAATTTTAGTAGACCATGTTAGATTTGTTGAAGAGTACATTATTTACCGCTTCAAGGACTTGATTATTGCTTTCACCTCTGTCTGTGCTTCTTTATCCTAGAAAGAAAATACAGATGCATAAGGAAATCTCACATATTTATCCTGTAGTCCAGGTATTAGATGGATTATGACTGAGTGCAGGTACATTTTTCAAAGGTCACTCAAAGAAAATGGGTTTCTTAGGACCAAGCATGATTCAGGTTTATGAGACTGTGTGTAACAGAGAGCTACATACATACTGTTCCTCCACAGATTTGGAATTGTGGGATACACTAAGGGGAAAGTCTTTCATATAAACTGACACAATGAAAACACTAGCATGTTAATCTTACTGTTTTTTTCCCCTCAACTATTAGATGGAGTCCTAGCTCCAGCAGCAGAAAATTGAAAAAATCTAAGATTCCACTATAAGAATTCAATTTCATTATTGCCTTTATCTAAGTACCTTACACTAGAGATTACTATAATTCTATTGGTCATAGAAGGGTGACGAATGTCATTTCAAAAGATTATAGTGATTTAAAAATAGTTTTCCCCTGAGATTAGCACATTCATCACTATATAACAAAATAGTACACAATTTAAAAAATATATTTAAGCTTTCTCTGTACACTCAAGGTCAATGAACTTTAAAGCTGTCTCAGCTTAAAAATCTTTAAGGCCACTGATAAAAGTCATTATTTCATTTAGCAATCATTTTGTACTGCCTTAGACACAAGAATTTTGTTTTGTTTTAAAAACAAAATGTTTCTCAGGATCTGAGATTATCATCTCAAAGTCAAGAAAAATCCATGTAAACAATAAAAATATCACAGTTCAAATTCTGAGAATGTAAAGCTGCCTGCACCTGTGAATCCGGGCTCTAGGGCCAACTGCTGACTCTCCAAGTAGCAAGTAACAGTGCGCTGGGCTTAAGGCTCCCTGACGACAGGTTCACAGGAGACCTGTCCACAAATGACTAATGCAAGAAAAAGTTACAAAGGCCACAAGAAAGAGGCAGGGATGTAATGCAAGTTCACAGGAGGAAGACAAACTAATGACTATGCTGACCTGTTGTGGCACTGGCAGGTATTGTGGCAATGAATAAGTTGGTCAGCAAATCACCAGTCAGACACATTTCTATCTGAAAAACTTTGCACATACCTCTACATACAACTAACTTCATTCTTTGTTCTCAAAAATCATAGCAAAATATTCCTATGTATTTATAACCTGGAAAATAATTGCTATGAATTCAAGTAAAGACAGCATTAGAAAAAAAAGAGAAGACACAGAAATATTTGCTCAGGCTATACTGCTTATTACAGGAAATAGTTTCATAGAATCCAAATTTCTTGGTTATATTTATTACAAATCCTCTTATTGTCATTATTCACACTTTTAATTTTATAGAATTAGTGTTTTGATTCTTTGTATGAATTTTTGTTGAATGGTAATATGCTAGGCAATATATTCATAGAAATAAAATGGTGAATGAAACATATTTGGTTGCTACTTTAACAGAACAACCACAGAAATAAATATAATCACAACTGTGCTAAATGACATGAAGGAAACATACTCAGGACAATTAACACTCTTAGGAGTTGCAAGCATCAGACGATACCTATCTGTAGCCCCAGAGCTTGCTTCTGTGTTCAGGGAATGGACTCCATGGCGTCCGAGAACCCTCTTCAGACACAGGACCCTCCAACCTACAGATGCCTGGCAGAGCTTGCTACACTTCTCTTTATCAGCCTGACTTTCCACGACTACACAGGCAAACATGTCTTTGCTTTTCCTCTTTGAGCCTGTTTTATAACCAGTGCTGCATTTCGCCGTCGCCTACCTCTGATGCCATCTGATGCCCAATAGGAGAGTCATTTCTCCCTTTTCATATTCCCTGATCAATTATTTGTACCTCTCTTGGCACTTTATGTGCTCTACCTTGAGCTACAGTTTCCTGGATGTACACCATATGTGCTCTTCAGTTAAAGCTCCCAGAGGGCAACCAAGTCTCATTTATACAAAAGATCACAACAAATGTTTAATGTTAACGGAGAACACAAGGAATGCTTTTTCCCAGGCATTCTTTTTTTTTATGAATTAGAAGATGATAATATTTGAAGGCATAAGAAGGGAATGGTGAAACATTTTATCTATCTCCATTTGTTCCCATCATACCAATGAATGGCTCCTAGGAGTGTGCACTGGGCCATTAACCCTGAAGGAAGCTGAAACTGTATGGCATATTGTTTTGCTTTGTATTTGGGTGTTCCCCCAAGGCCTCATGCAGGTTTGGATGTTTTTTGTTTTTTTGGGTTTTTTTTGAGGAGAGCGAATCTGGTGCACTGCTGGGATTAAGGGTAGGTGACTGCTGGATCAGTCCCTCACTGGATTGGCACTGCCCCAATCCCAGTAGTGGGTACAATACAAGGCACAGAAAGAGGCTTGTCCCCACTCTCTTGCTGCTTTTTCTACCTTTTACCTGCCAGGAACTGTTGCCCCTCTGCCATGTCATCCTGCCTTGGAGCCAGCCAATTATGCACTGAAACTTCTATGAACTATAGACCAAATAATTTTCCCTTAACTTTGGTTGTTGGGTATTTTGTCTCAGCAACAAGAAAAGTAATTAAGACATATATCCAGAACCCTGAATTATTGAATAAAAAGTCAAGAGGCAATATAATAGTTTCTGCTTTCATTAATTGAAAGTATCACCAAATCAAGAGAGTATTTATTTTTAATCTTTTTCACAGTGTTAGATGGCTACACCCTGCTTTGAGCTGGGGCCTGAGGATGGTAATTCCATGGGCATTTGCCATTCTCCAACTCAGGCAAACTGTCCAGCTTTCTTGCTGCATACATAGTTTAATCATTAACTTCTCAAAATTATACTGTGCTTTCTCCTCCCAAGTGGGGCTTGTCCCATTCCGTGTACTCTTAGGCCTACTGAGCAACAGGATGTATCTGCTATCCCATGACTTGCCTTGTCCTTTAAAGATCCAAGTAGTCTCCCAGTGCTAGTTTATCTTAGGCATAAAGTGAAATTTAAGACTTCATAGTACAGGAAAAATTCAAGTTAAAACGTTTTAATTCAAAAGAGGATTCCATGATGGAAGCAGAAAGCAGACGGTGATTCTCACACGGTCTCATTTTTCCCCAATGGTCGAAAGGTACAAACTTATAAGATGAATAAGTTCTGGTGATCTAATGCATACTATGGTGATGATGGTTAACAATACTGTAGTATATACTTGAAATTTGCTAAGACAGTAAATCTTAAGTTTCTTAACAGTCAGAAAAGTTAACTACAGGTGGCGATGAATATGTCAGCTTGAGTGTGGTTAACACTTCACAGTGTAGACATTTATCAAAATATCAAATTGTATACCTTACATATCTATAATTTTTATATGTCAATTACACCTCTGTAAATCTGGAAAAATAAAAATAAATATTATTCAATAAAGAAAGAAAATTACAAGCATACTAACCCAGTTCAGACTTTAAGCTTGAATAGAATTGATGAGACATTAGCATTCACTGCTACCATCTAGTAGACTTACCTCTTTGGTAACAGTGGGAAGTAACAATGCCAAATTACAGAACTTCCAAGCATTCTGATTTTCCTCAAGATCTACATAACACTAGAAATGAAAAGGAATCATATTAAAAGGAGTCACATTTTTAAGTAATGGATTCAAAGTGATATTTAAAAAGGTTTTCATTACCTTGGCCAAGTACATGTAATTGAGTAGAGAATAACCAGGATGTATTTCTTCAGCCTGATTGAAGAAAAAACAGACAAATGGATGACAGACAGATGATAACAGACATAAGGATGAGGAGGAGGATATGTTTCAATATATTAGATCTTATTATCCAAACTGACCCCAAGAATTTAGGTAGGCTGTCTTCCACTGAATCATCTTAGTAGTTTTAAGTACTTTTGGTAGAATGGCTTTTGTCACTCAAAGGAAATTCATTAATATGGTCATAAAGCTTACAAAGCACTAGGAAATTTTAATTTTTTTGGTTCCTTTATACAATCATTGCCTTCAGACCTCCATCTCTATCTTTTGTCTTTTATTCTTCTTCTACTAGATTAGTATCTATTTCTTATGATTTCAACACATTCCACATGAGTTGAGTAATATCAGAAGTCTGTTTTTTAATAATTAAGTTTACTAGCACATTTAGATATATATAATGATCACATTCATCATAGGGAATTTGTACCTGCACATGATATATCTTGAAACTTTTCTTTTCCCGTTTTCTTACCCTCCCACCTTGATTCCTCTTCCCCTCCTTATTTATATATATTAACAATAAGATAGGAAAAGATGGAAACGGAAGTCCATCTTGTTGAGTATTTTCAAACCAAAAGCATGCCCAGCTGAGCATGGTGGCCCACACTTTTAATCCCAGCATTCAGGAGACTGAGGCAGGAGGACTACAGTGAGTTGCAGGCCAGCCTGAGCTGCATAGTGAGTTCAAGCTCACCATGAACTACACAGCTGTGATCTTGTCTAAACACACACACACACAAAACAAAACAGATCCTAGAAATCCACCCAATTACATGTAAGTATTGTGACTGAACTTTACCCCTGTCTAATACCCTTTTACATCTCAGTTCTGTATCTCTGAGAGAGAAGAATTTTTAGGTGTGGTATCATTTTTAGATCCCAAATCAGTCTGCTTCAGAGCCAGATTTGTTGCTGTGAAAGTGGGAACAAATAAGCTCCAAACCTGGTCACTATTTCTACCCAGAAAATGTAACGGAAGAGGGAAACTTTAAATTTACCCCCAAAATGCTCGTTTTATAGGTTACAAATCCAGACATTTATAAAACTAAAATGCAAAAGTTCCTCCTTTCTACTGTTATTGTCAATCTCATTCCCCTGCAATAATCACTGTCAACAGAATGACATGAATCCTACCAGGCCTTGGTAAAGTATGGGCAAACAAAAAAATAATAAAACAAAAAATAAATAATTTGTTTTTGGAGAAAATTTAAATTAGGAACATTTTCTATCCATGAGTCTAAGAGTTACATTTTTCCCTACAAGGCATGATAGATATAATTTTAAATGCAGGCATCTGCATCATTGTTCCTGTCTCATACTATGCAAATATAGCAATTAAATTAAGCATTTCCCATTATCCATTTATTATTCTTAGTTTTCACTACTCTCAGTAACTATCAAATCACATACTCATGTATACCTTTGTACATGTGCACTTGCATCTGTAGGAGAGACTTCGGCCACGTAGGCTGGTTTGAGAGCTTGCACTCCTGACCTCTGTATCTCTGTGATATTTATTGTGTTTGAGTTCATCTGGTATTATTTTAGGCATGACAGCATCTCAATACATTTTATACAATGTTCTGAAACCCCAGTCCTTAGTTATTACTTTGATATTATGAGGAAATGAGTTTTGAATTCAAATGCCATTAAAAATAACTCAGTATCTCTTATAGAAATACTTTCTCTTAAATATACTATGATCCATATTGTTATGGAACTAAAAGGTGAAAGAATTAATTCTCAGTGATAAAAACAATGGTGAACGAGTACATTTAACTGTTGCCCTGAATCAAATCTTCATGGTTGTGTGAGATTGGACAAGTTAGTTTCTTGATTACTTTTTATGCCAAAAAAAATTATGATTAAAAAAACTCAAAAAATGTATGGCTTTTGTACTATTTTTTTTTTTCTTTTTTGGCTTTTTGAGACAGGGTCTTACTATGTGTTCAAGCTGGTCTTGGGTTTACTTTTGTAGCCCAGGCTGGTCTCAACCTTGCAATGATCTTCTGTCTGAGCCTCCCAGGTGTTGAGATTACAGGTGTGCGCCATCACGTCTGGCTTGGCCTTTGTGCTCTTATTTCCTGCATTCTTTTCTGTTGAGCCTGTGCTTCATCTCAGGACGTGAAGTTTTACACAGTCTTCCAGGTAGGCAACCAATGGCCAAAGGTCAGAGGTCAAAACTGAGGGGGAGCCTATTTTCCACCTTAGACTACATGATCTCTACATGCCCTCTCAGTTCTGCAAAATCAGTCCCCCAAATACGACACAAACATTAGTATCAGAAAATATGGTTCAGCCTGATTTGTCCATAGTTTTATAAATCTGAAATAAGTAAGGGGGGCATCTGGCACATGTCAGGCATCCTGGGTTCAAAGTATGAGGAGACCCACAGTGTTTCAGACTTTACACTTCTGTAAAATTTTGGAACATGTGCACAGACTTAACCTACCAGTCAAATATTCCTAACCCAAAAATTTTAAATTCCAAATGCTCCAAAATCTAAAACTTTTTGAGAGCTGACATGACAGTGTTCAAGACTTTTACATTTTGGGGAATTTCAGACTGCAGACTTTTGGATTAGGGTTGTTCAACTTGTAGATATAACATCTTACATTGGTTCCAGAGAAAGGAGCTAGGATTAAACCAACAAAAAGTTGTTTATATGAGGGGCTATATTACACATTTATCTGTGCACACACCTAAATATTGTTCAAGGTTGTATTAGCATAGAAACTATATATTTTAAAATAATAGGAATACTAGTTTGATTTGATGCTCCAAGAATCTTTCATACAAGTGTGTATGACTTAGAAGGTGTTCTGAAAACCAACTCTTCCTTGCAGTATCCTTTAGTTCAAAACTAAAATTCCGGAGCATGCTTGTAATTCCAGCTACTTGGGAGGCTATGGTGCGAGGATCACAAGTTTGAGGTTTGCCTGCACAATTTAGTGAGAACTTGTCTCAAAAAAGTGGATGGGGTAGACCTGGGTATACAGCTTAGGGCTCCCTGGATTTAGTATTACACACTCCTCCTCAGTATTACACACACACACACACACACACACAAAACTGGTTCTATATTAAATTAAGTTTCTTGTGAGTACACTGTTGGAAACAAGTCTGATAAGAAGGGCTCAGCAGTTTTTGCTTTGCTCACATTACTTGGGAGCTGCTCCCAAATTGGTAGCAAGGGCTGCTATAACAAAACTTTTATTTAGGCTGCTGAGTTATTTTTTAAAAATAGCTTGTCATTCCTGGGACCTAGAGCAGTGGTGGTGAATCTATGGCATGGGTGCACTTTGTTTTTCTTTTAAAAGATGTTAAATGAGTTGTTTTTTCTAAACTAAAACCTCAGAATTCTGATTTAACTGCAGTGTTGGCACTTTGTAATAAGTAGGGTTTGGGTTGGAGTTTGGGCACTTGTCTCTAAAGCAAAATTAGGGCATAAATAGCTGTTATAAGTTTAGATTTGGAGCATAAATTACTTAGAGGCTTCAGGCAGGATATGCTGTCCAGGTGTGGTGGCACACCCTTATAATACCAGCTACTCAGGAGACTGAGGCTGGAAGACTGTGGGTTTAAGGCCAGGTTGGATGATTTAGTGAGACTGTTTCAAATTTTTTTTTTTAAATGAACAAAAGGGCTGATGATATAGCTCTGCACTCCTTGGATTCAATCCTACTATTGCAAAACAAAAACAGAGAACATGACAAAATCAGGATCCAAATGAGCGCTTCTCAGGACCAATTAGAGATCTGCACGTGGCAAAGCGACAGAGTTCTTTGCTAGAAGGGTAGCAGGAACCAGCACAGATGGTAGTCAGTCAGATATGAAAATAATGAATAGATAAATGATATGGCTTGTGTCTAGATGTCCTCCTATGAACTGATGATGTCATAGGTGGGACTTTTTAAGAGGTAGCTAAACCTAGGGTATCATAATGGGATTAAGTGAGTGATGCTGGGATTAAATTGGTATGTGATTTCTAAATTACTCCATCGATTGGTCTGGCATAGTTCTGGGTATAGAGAATGAGCAGGGCCACTTTGCGTATGAGTGCTCCCTCCCTTAAGGCCACGTAGCAGGGACAGAAAGCTGTCATCACTTTCTGCTTCCTCACTAGTTTGCCGTTTCACTGCCTTCTGCCCACCATGAACTGTTTCTCCTCTGCAGTTCCATTTGCCATGCTGCGCCGCCTTGGAGCCAGCCAACTAGGGACTGAGACTTCTGCAAACTGTGAGCTACAATAAATCTTTCCTCCATGACTTTGGATGTTAAGTATTTTGTCTCAGCAATGAGAAAAGTAATATGACAACAACAACAACAACAACAACAACAACAACAAAATACCTTAAGGAAATTACACAAAGCTTCTTGTACAGTTGAAGATGGTACTTTTCCAAAAAGAGTAGCTGCCATTTTTTTCTCAATCCAGCTGAGTTTTGAGACCTGAAAATACAGAGCACCATCACTCTTGGGAAGCTATTCATCACTGAATGGATTATCTTTCCTCAGAGAGGTGTGCAGATACATATGTATGTATGTGTACCTAAACACCACATATATAAAAATACATATCCATAAATAATATAGGAGACCTATCATCCCTTTGGCACTAATATTTTTCCTTTTTTGCATAATTCTAGCAAACCATCAGTTCCAGAAATATTTGTTTCAAAACCGATTTGAGGGGGCTGTGGATTTAGCTCAGCAGCATAAGTACCTGCCTTGCAAGCAGGCGGTCTTGAGTTCAATCCCTGGTACTGATAAAAAAAAAAAAATCTGAAATACTCATGATAAGATTTGTGTACAGTCAGAGGGGAATGATGCCAATCCTGTTTGTTTGTCTGATTTGTGATTCTGTGATGACCACAGAGTATGTCTTTGCCCAGCATGAAGCCGCAGGTAGATTTGGTCTTGGCCTCCCTCCTGCCTACTGTGTGCTGCCAAATGGCTCCTGGACAGTATCTCAGACACGGAAACAGAACAAGGATCCTTCACCTGAGAGTACAGAGGGAGGGGCCAGTATACATGTTTACAACCCAGGAGACTTTTTAGAAAAACAATAACCAGCAAAACTAAGTTTCATATTACCATTTATTTTTTACATTTACTTTTTCTTCATTTTTCCAATTATGAATAGTACTGAAACTTTACTATAAAAGATTAAGCTAATTCCAAAACGAATACTTAAAGGGTATTAATACAGTTGATATCCCCAATCCACAGCAAGTATCTTCCTTCTTAATCCCATCTTCTACATTTCTAGTCATTATTATCTGTTGTTTAAAAATTTGTATTGCTATGTAATTTTACTTATGATATACTTATTTTGGCTTTGTTTTGAACTTTGTAAAAATTATACAGTTTATCTCCTTTCATGATATCTTTTTCATTTAATATTACAGTTGCAAGATTCATGCAAGTTGATGGGTGTAAATGAAATTCAGGCAATTTATTAAATGTGAAATTTAAACTGCTTATTATATGTTTTTTCATACTATTTTTTGTCTTATTGTTCTATTAATCAACTAGAGAGGTGGGTGAAGTCTACTAGTATATATGTATTTTTACAATTTGGTTAATTTTTACTTTACAGTTTTAAAGCTGCTATTAGGAGCAATGAGTTTATAATTATTTTCTTGGTGCACTGAACTTTTTAAAAAATTTTATTTAAAGAAAGGAGAAAATTTAAAAAACAAAATAGAAAAAGTGAGAAAAAAGTAGAATACAGAATTCAAAAACAATCACAAAATCACTAGTTGACACATTACATACTGTCACCTTAACAACAGTTGTTAAAGTTACAAAATCAAATCATAAAAAGTTTATCTACAGTCCTCATTGCCCAACAAAGGTCAATATATTAGGCTTAGGAAATGCCTTTGTCTATGAAGTGATTTCAAAATTGATATATGAGTCCTAGGAGGTGGTGTTCCTGATTTGTTTCTGGTATCTGGCTGTTTTCCTTACTGGTTTTGAAAGTTATTCCATTCTGCTGATTAGAAATACATTCATATGCAATACATACATACAAACTTTTAAAGATATTTTGTGGCCAGAAAGCTTTGAGCTCTCTAGTGCGCACATTGTGGAAACGATCTTTATACCTTTGTTCATTCTTGCTTTAATACCTTTGCTAAAAGGTATTCTCCGTGTATCAGTGAATTCCAACTTTGCATACAATTCCTATTTGTTATACCTACTTATAATTTGTAGACAGACAGACTAATGAAAATCAGCGACAAACTACCTGGATTTGCTAAGTGAACTTAGGCAAATCATTCATTTTGTATGGTTGTTGAAAAAATTAAGTGAGCTACAATCTATCAATGTCTATAACCCTAAAAAAATACTTACATGAGCCATGCACATGTCAGTTATCATTATTACTGCTTTTTATCTTCTTGGTTCTCTGTAATTTTTCCTCTATTTTCAATGTGTTATTTGAACAACAAATACTTTTTAAGATTCTTATGTTAAGTGCAAAGAACTGAACTTCATGCTGAATATCATACTAAGTAATGTAAAATGTGGACTCTATCCAAAAGCTTTCGGATAACTTGGATCAACAGAAAAAAAAACAGTAAATGAAAATGTGATCTGCTGAAAGGTAGTACAACCTCCGCAAATGAATGGTATAGTTAACTGCAATGTTTCAGAGAATGGCGACATCACCATTATTTCCTAACTCTGTACAGATAATTAAAAATCTGAGTACTGGCCAGCTAGCCAGCCTTTCTGATAAGCTGTGCAAGCTATGTGGGGCCCAGAAGAGGAAAAGTCAGACAGCGTCTCTGGAGAATCAGCCATGCTAGGACTGGGAGGAGCTGATCAACAAGCCAACTAGCCAGCCTTTCTGGTAAGCCCTGAAGGCCATCTGGGAAAGGAAGAGAAAAGTCAGATAGAGTCTTCCAGCCTGTGGGGCTGAGATCCACCAATTTCCCCGGTAAGCAAACAGCTGGTTTGGAGGACAGGCTGAGTGGATAGCAACTGAGGTACAAAAACCAACTGAATGCTTATATTGTTTGTTTGACTTGGAAGTCCTGGAGCCAGCAGTCTGAGCATCTATAGGGAGGATAATGTTATGCAATATAGCAATTATGGGGCATTTCCTTCTACCTCGTTTTGAAATCCAATATTGTTCTCACTGTTTTGTTTTGTTCTGATTGTTTTGCTTTATTCAATATCCTGTTTTGATTTTTTCTGTTTTGTTTTGGTTTGATTTTGCTTGGTCTGATGGAATGGGCAACTATTAGGAAGATAACAAGATATACTATGGTGACCACTGCTGTTTTCCTATCATCCTACTTTAAAGTTCTGTACCAATTTCACTGCTTTATTTTGATTCCATTTATTCTGTTTTGTTTAGTTGGGTTTTATTATCTTTAAAATAAAAAAATTAATGAAAAATCCAAGTACTACAACCATTTTATTATTTGACATGGCAGTCTCATAATCAGGACAAAAATGGGAAAAGCAGATGATAATGATTTTTCTCATTTTTCCTTATAAAAACATAAGTTCCTTTTCTATGTGACAGAATGAAAGGAGCATAAATTCTGAAATTATGAAAAATTTGAGGATCAATACTGGCTCTTTCACATATTAATTTAATTGGGATGCTAGAAGGTTAGCACGAAGAGTTAGATTCTTTTAAAACTAGAATGATAATAAATAACTGCCTTGCAAACTATTTTAAGAATTAAATGTAAGAGATATAAAGTATAACATGCATATGTGGCCTACGGTAGATGTTCAAGAAAAGTAAACTTCTCAGCTCTAATGCTCAACAGCCTTTTTCTCACACTAATTTTCTCCCTTATAAATAGCATTTCCTTTTAGTGCATCTCTGTAGATATATGTTTATATCTTGTTATCCTTTTGTAAACTAACACTGCTTTTTATGACAGCTGTCCTTATTCAATACATCTCATATCCCTTCTAAATAAGTCCCTTAAAGAAAGAGGACACATGACACAGGTATTTTAAGATATTTTGTGGCCAGAAAATTGAATTGGTCATCTTATGGCCAACTAGTTAGTACATAATTCATTTTCAGTAAATACTGCAAGACAAAAAGAAGTTCTCCTACAGAACCAGGGATAGTTTACATTGAGAGAGAGAGAGAGAGACAGACAGACAGACAGACAGGGAGGCTGATCACAACCTGAGAGAGTCCAAAATATGACTTCTGTTTTGGTTTTTTGTTTTGTTTTGTTTTGTTTTTGGTACCAGGGATTGAACATGAACTCACGACCTTGCACTTACCAGGCAAGTGCTTGAGCCATTAAGCTAAATCCCTGGCCCTCAAAGTATGACTTCTGAAACCTCTTGAAAAGATGAGAGAGAGAGAAAGAGAGACAGAGACAGAGACAGAGACAGAATAGAGACAGAGATAAAATACTGAATGTAACTTAACATGTAAACTTATACATTATAAAATATATATAGTAAAATTTTAAATTATAAACTACAAATTCATATTAAATTATAAAATACACATCACACATTCAAGAATGTATACCAATTTTACAATGCCTCTTAAAGTAATAAGTTAATAATTATATCATATAGTCATAGTATATTCAAATAAGATTTATGAATAAAAGCATTCAACTTACAGTATAACAGTATCTTCCATTGAGGTAATATAAAAAGGGTTCTTCAGGTAAAAGTTGGATTGCTATATCTAGATGTTCCTGAAAGAAACACCCAAAAGAAAAGTTACTACCCAAGTTTCAGATATTGCTGAATGGAATCAACTAAAGCTCAGTGATCTCTAAAGTGGTTTTGCAATGTCTTAGGAACCCTGAATCAATTGCATAATTAATATAATTGAATATTATTATATTTATTATTATATATAATATTATTATATTTATTATTATAATTAATATAATTGAATATTATAGTTGAATATTTATTGGATTATTATTCAACTATCACAAAAGTGATCATGATTCAAATAAGTGTACCAGGACCAAAACTGTGACTATGATTCAGTAAGTGTATGTATAATTTAAGGCCAATACCATTACAAAAATTGAAAACATCCAAGTTAAATGTTCATCTATTCAAGACTTGCCTAGTAAATACACAAGAGGTGAGCTTAACCATATCAAGATAACTTGGAGGAGGGTGAAATAGAGGGAAATACACTAGAATCAGACAGAAGAGGAATCTATTCTGGCACTGCTGGGATGATTATATTAAGTAGGAAAAAAGGAACTGTTTTTTTCCTCCTTGCCATTATTGATCCTGAAGTTACCCGTAGGGCTACTATGATTAGAGGCAAAGGGTAAGTGAGATTATGAGAACTACTGATTTTGTTCATCTATCACAGTAAGTTGAAGATCTAGATTAGATCCTACTCCTCTTACCAAGTAAATACACAGAAATTTTTGAGTAACCCCAATTGTAAGTATGATAATAGTGACATCATGACCAAAGAGCTAATCTTTAAAAAAAAAACACTTATGTACTATGAGTTCAGTACCTGAAGTAATAAAAATATTTCATTACTAAAATAGTTTGACTTTTTTGTCTCAGTACTATAACACCATGTCATTTCTTACCATTTAAATGACAAAAATAAAAAAATTCTTAGTGCTTACCTTGTTGAACAATTTGTTTTATACCTGATAATGAAATATATAGCTATGTTAAGATATTTTTTATTTCAAGAAATACCTTGAAGCGATGTCCATAGTTGATTTTATTTTGTAAGCCTTCAAACTGTGATACATAGCCACACAAAACTGCATACCTGAAAAGATAAAGACAGTGGTTATCATTTAAAATTTTAATTAAATACCACCAAAATATAACATTTTAAAATTATCTGAAGCCTTCATTAATATTTTACAAAAGTGTTAATACAGATGCAAGAGCTGTAGAAATAAATATTTGACATTAGTATAAGGCAGGTTTCCTCTTCTATATGCTCTCTATTCCATATGTACTTTGTGATGTTAAAATGGGCCATGCAATGTGCTTGTACAGTGCCTGGCACACAGGAAGGCAGTTTTTGTTTGTTTTTTTGTTTGTCTTTCTGAGACAGAGTCTCGCTATGCAGTTCAGACTGATCCTGAACTCACGTGTAGCACAGGCTGGCCTCAAACACATGGTAATCCATGCTGCCTTAGACTCCTACATGCTGGAATTATAGGTGTGCATCACCATGCTTGGCAAGGAAGTTTTGATAATTGTCAGTAGCTGCTATCGTTGCAACTATTAACATTAAAGTCTTGAAGAAACTCTGAAAAAATCTAATCACAATCAAAATGGAAGACATATTGTCAACAGATTTATTACCTCAAAAACATTATTAAATAAATATTTAAAACTCAAAAAAGTAACTATATTCCAAGTACTATACATTTCTGTTGGTCTCTGGTTTTACTCTAATACCGTGTGAGAATTCACTTTGAAGGATTTACATTTCTTTGAGTATATTAAGGTTTTTGTTATTGTTATGAGCATAGTCTATTTTGAAAAAAATCACATAAATAAATTCCCCGAATAGGAAAATCTATGAATATCGAGGGTAGCTTATCAGTCACCTAGATTTAAGAGTGAAGAATTGGGGGATGAGAGCCAGTAGGTAGAGTGGTTTGACTTGACATAACAAAAGTGACCTAAGTTTGACTGTGGTTATAGTTCTACAGCTCTATCAATGTGCCAAAATGTGTTGAATCTTATATTTTAAGTTTGTAAATTATATGGTATGCAATTTTTAGTTCAGTGAAAAAAACTTCTTTAACTCATATCCTAATAGGTAGCGCTGGCCTCAGAGAAGGAGTTAGAAAGCACATCCTCTGCGCCTATCTTTTGGAAGAGACTGTAGGAAATTGGTATATGTAATTTTTCCCTTAAATATGTGGTACAGTTTACCAGTGAGCCCATTTGGGCCTGTTGACTTTAGAAAGTTATTATTTATTTCACTTTAAAAACAGATACAGCTCTATTCAGCTTGTCTACTACGTTCTTTTGAAATGCCCTCTGAAATTGTATTGTATTATTACTCCCAAAGAGTTCTAGATTGTAGAATAACTCCAATTCTGCCAAAATGTCACAAAGCTACTCTCACAAACTTCCTATTGTGTTATGGACATTATAATACTCCAACTTACAACTTAAAACCTATTTGGACTTAAAACGTACTTTCTAAGCACACTTTTCTTTAGGAATAGATTTGGATTCATGAAAAAGTTGGAAACAGTGCCAAAAATTCTCATGTATCCCACACCTAGTTTTCTTTATTGTTAAATTCTTACATTACTACAATACATTTGTCATAGGTGTACCAACAGTGAGATGCAACTGTCACAGGGAACCCGTTAACATACCATCAAAAATTAAACTTCATGTTTTATTCAAATTCCCATGTTTTTCTTTTAGACATTCTACATTTATTTCTATTAATTCACATACTGTTCAGTATCTTTTTTAAAATGTTAAAATACTCTGAATTACTATTATTTCTCTACCATGTACTAGTTTCCTCTAATGTTATGATAATTATAACTCTTATAAGCACATCTTCTCTGTCTTCATCACTTACAAAATTAGTGAATACACTGGGGTATAAGATATAGACCTGGACCCAGAGTCAGCCCAGGTGGACAATAATCTGTTGGATAACTAAGGTTCAAGTCCTTCAGGCAGCACGGGAACCCATCAGCTTGATCACATTTCTACATCTTGTCTACAGAGATGTTACAAGTGAACTTTTCCTCGATGTTTTGCTTAATTTCAGATACACTAAGCCATTTCCTTTATTCCTTCTACTAGCAAATAAAAAACTGACCACATTGCATTTTAAAATATATCTATGTTGGGTCTACTTAAACTTGCTCATCTGGAGATTCATAAAACCCAGTTAACTCTGGGCTACAATTAAAGGAAGAGCTGGGCAATAGTGGTGTTTTCTGAAAATCAGAATTACTTATGCACATTTTAAAGATTTTAGTTTGCTCTCTCCACATATTCAAAGTTATTCTGAGTAAAGAAAAACAGGAAAATAAACTTCCATGAGTGATTACACAAAACATGTATTTTTTTCTGTTTAAACAATATGTCACAAGAATCTTAACATTTTTCATATTTTATGAAATCTGTTTAAGTTTAAATTACTTTTTTTTGTATTGGGACTCAAACTCACAGTAATTCAAAAATCACCTGGCTATTTACTCATAAAAGATCATAGCTTTTGTTTCAACCAGTTTATACTTTTGTGTATGCTTGTGTTTTAATTATAATTTTTCTATGGTCCATTTAAAATGTAACCTTTTTTTCTCAAACATTCAGGTTGAGGAGAACTCTAAAGAAAGCTAATTCACAATATGGTGTATTACCTCCCTCTACAGGTCATTCTCATTATAAATTGTCTGACGTGAGTTCTGTATTTTCTTTGTATTGATACTGAATAAATCCTTAATAGCTGACAATAATATTTCAACAACTCCTAAAACAACTCCATTAGTCTCCCTGAAATATTTCTGATTTAGAGCCAACAATATTTATATGATAAAAAAAGCAGGAACAACATACTGTAATAGAAGAAAGATAGAGCACATAAGAATGAAGGATATGAGTTCTGGTTTACACACACACACACACACACACACACACACACACACACACACACAGAGCTTTGCTTATTGTATCTAGAAATTAGAAATAGGCTGGTGAATAATACATATGGATGTAATTTGCAAACAGTAGAGCAAAACAAATATGTAAGACATTATTTATAATTAAAGCCAGCCCTGTTTGGCCAACAAACTGCAGACCCACTGGTGACTTTATGCTCTTGATTCCAACAGTATGTTAGGCTGGTACAATGAAAACATCAGAATCTTATAGAATGCTGAGGCAGCCTTAAAGTTACAAAGTTACATTTTGGAAAACACAGAGATGAAAACTACATACTTAATATACTTGTTTTTCAATTATTCCATAAATATTAACTATAAAAATTATTCTTAAAAAAGTACATCTTTTATCACAGTAAACCACAGGTCTGTAAACTTTTGCTGCATGACCAGATAGTAAATATTTTAGGCTTTGGAGCCAAGATAATCTCTTTTACAATTCTTCATCTTTGCTATGAACAAATACACTTGTATGGATGTATTCTAATAAATCTTTATTTACAAAAACAGATGTGAGATTTGATCTGAAGGCCACAGTTTATCATTCATGTTAAATGAAAGGAGTTTTATTAGTGCCTTAGCTTACTAGAAAAGATTCTAGAAGAAAAGATCTTACATGAACATGCTAATAAAAGTGATTATGGATTCAGTTTACCTAAATTTTACCTACTGCTTCTCAAAGTTTCTCTTTTTTTATCATCTTAAACCTTACTAGTAAACTGAATATAAGTACTTCTGCATTCAGCAGATGTAACACATTCTAAAAATTAAGATTACATTGATAGTCAAATTTATTAAATTTCTATCAATCTAGTTGATTTTAATATTTTAAATTAATAATACTGAATAAGAAATCATATAAAACAATGGGTCATTACTTGGTATGTGTTAATAAGATTTAATCTCAGAGTAAATCTCATTGTTACACGGAAGGTATTTAGTTCACAACAAAAAAAGAAGAAAGAAAGAAAAGATAAAGCAGCAGCCAGATTAATGGAAAATAGACTGGGCAGCCCACTAAGGGCAAGTCCAGCATGATCTATGCTTCCAAGGTAATTATGAAACTCTCAGAGAAGGATCAATATTACTCCCCTATGAAATTTGGAAAAATCACATTAATGAACCTCAAATCGAGGATTAACGTCAAACAGCCTGCTTTCATGTGATTCTTCATGGGTACAGATCGATGTAGGGGAGAAGAGGACAGCAGAAGGATAGCGAGGGGGAGGGGGAGGGGGGAAGAGGAGGAGAAGGAGGAGGGGGAGGGGGAGGAGGAGGAGGAGGGAGAGGAGAGGGAGGGGTAGAAAGAGGAGAAAGGAAGCGGGAGGGAGGCAGCAGCGTGCAGAGCAAAACGTGTTCTTTCTGCATCCTGCTGTGGATCACCAACTCCTGGACACTTCCATTTCAAAAGAGACGCAGAGAAAGTGTAATTTGATCAGAACAAGTTGATTACACATACCCTTAGAAGCAGAATACTAGAAGACCTTATCATATACATACATTAACTGATTAGTATATGAATATTATGCACATTACATGATCTAGGTAAACTTGCTTGTATAAATAATAGCCAAGGCTGTTATATAATTGGGAAATGATCTTAAGAATCTGTACTAGGTGGTTAACTGTTAATTTTTCTTAGTTTTTGCAGAAGTGCAAATGGGAAGAATAATACTTTCTTTATTTCAGTTCCTAAATCGAGATACTCTACACATGGCATGCTAGGGCAATGCTTCCCAGGGTCTTCACCCTGCCTCTTAACCAGTGTCAGGCTAGTAATAGAAGGTACAGACTTCACTAGGAGGAAGGGATTACAGTCTCTCCTAAGAGGGCAGGCACTAGGCTTACTCTCATTTAACCCAAGCAAGGGCAGCTTCCAAAGACTTTTTCATATTTTACTCTGTGTGTGTGTGTGTGTGTGTATGTGTGTACGTACTTTAGAACGTGGCAGACCAATGAAACTACCCATCATTGCCAAAAGTTAGTTGTGAGATTTTGTGAGTGGAGCTCCCCCTGCTGACCACAGAGTACAGAAACAGATCTGTCGGAAAATAGTTTTTACTTCAGAATTGGGTGAGGAAAAACGAGTTTCCTGAGGGATAAACGAGGACCTGCCCGAAAAAAGCTAACATCAGAGGGATTTGTGCCTAAGAATGTTACTAGGAGCATTAGACAGTCCCATAGAAGGGTACATGTCATGCAAATTAACACTGAGGAAAGGATAAAAAATTACTTTATTATTGAATCTTCCTCACCTCTTTTAAGTATTTGCATTTCATGAGGCGGGGGGCTAAGGATGTCAAAATTTAACCACAATATAACCAGAAAGAATATTGTCAAAATATAACCAAAATGAGTAGTAATTAAAAATATATTTCTTATTTGTGTTTTATAGCCCTACAATATACAAAGGGCCCAAAATGTAATCATGTATATGTTTTCTTATTCCAAGGATATTTGCCTTTGCTTTAAATTAAATTCATTTTATTTGGGCTTTCTTATAACTAGCATTTTTTTGACTTGTGGAATTTGTATATCATGACTTCTCAAGTCAGAAGAAAAGGACTAATCTGTTTTTTATTATTTGAAGAATTCTTTGCCCATTTTAGAAATATGACATTGCTTTAGCATGTGTTTTCAAACAAAATGGTATCTTAAAGTAGATGTTATTATAATTTATTATTTTCAAAGCCACCAGATTTGGCGAATTCATTTATGAAATCTGCAGTGAAGTCTAACTACATTTAAAACACACCTAGAGAGAAATACACAATAATAAACAAGAACAGCTGCTCCACTACTTTCTAAATACATTTTTCAGAGACTGTGGCTACCATGACCAGTGATCAGTCATATTTTGAAAAGCCCCAACACATTAGATACAGAGGTATATTAGCATTTACGCTTCCACAATCCAATGTGCTTACCACAGGTGACAGTGGCCATTCATAGGTGCTCTAGTAATAGCTTTTTCACCTATTGTTTTTCCTGAAAAATAAAGATAGTTTTACTTAGTACCTTCTTGTGAGTTAGTAGAAGGTAAATTCTTCAATTCAGGAGTTCCTAAAATGGTCCCAGACCAAAAGCACTAGTATCACCCAGAAACCATTTAGAAAAGCACATTTGTGCTACAGTCACAAACTTGGGACGGTTAGTCAATCATCAACTTGTGTACTTCCAATGATTCCAATGAATGCTCACATGTGAGATGGACTAAATTAGCTGATTTAACCAAGTCTAAGAAAAGTCATTCAATTATTATCTAAAACCTTAACATAAAATTTTTTAAAAGAAAGTCAAGCAACAATTACTGAGTAACTAAGTCCTTTACTGTGTGAATAAATGAGAATAAAATGTCAAATAAGACACATTTCGTGCCCTTTATGGCTCAGTTCAGGAGGCAGCATATATATAAACAAGCAATGAAGCCTCCCTGAGAAACTCTTGCCCAATCCCTAAACACTGGGCAGACCCGGATATAAGTGATTTTCCTCAAATTATTTTTACTTAATTTTAAAATGTTTATTGGTCTGGAGATATAGCTCAGAGGCACAAGTGCCTGACGGGTAAGTTCAAGGTCCTGAGTTTGATTCCTGGTACAAAAACTAAAACAAAAAACAAAACAAAAACAAACAAACAAAAAACTCTTTTACCACATGAAACTTCCTTTGGATAGAAGGTATCTAATGCTTTAGATACTTTCTTCCTTTGGATAGAAAGTATCAAAATGCTTGCAATGAAACAATCACATTTTGAGACTCAAAAATGGCCCTATTTTGTTGTAAGCCTCTTTTTTATTCCTCTGCTGCATTTCTTCCTTGAAGACACTATCCTTTATGTTTTTATACATACATCATTGATACAATCTTTAAAAATAATGACAATTTACTCTAAAACCATAATCTTATTTAACTTGTTAAATAATAATAAAAAACTATCCATTAAGGAGTATACTATGGAGAAATCTACATAAATTAGAAAAACTTAAAAATATTTTAATAGTAACTAATACTACATTGAAGACAAATATTAAAGGAGTTAGTGATTTTTAAATGTTTAAAAACTTCCTTGCTAATAATAAAAACATAAAAATGAAATCAACATTTTAAATATATTGTCAGATGAATAAAACTTTCAGCATTCTTTCATAGGCATAAAGTAGAGGTAACTTCATCATTATCAGAATATAAAAGGGACCTGGACAATATACAGACTTCTTCGAGGCTGATGCCTGAAAGGAAAGATATTTCTCTTATAGAATAGTATCTTGTGAACTTTTTAGCCTTTCATATTAAGGCTCAAAATGGGGGCAACGGGAAACTGTTGCATACTGCTCACTTAATTATGAGTATAGTGCTATAATGTTCCTTTAAATATAAGATTTCTATTTCAAATGGAATACAAGTAACAGTCAATTACAATATTTCAAAAAATATTGTATAATTATATACTCATTGTGAGCTTTTAAAAAGAATTCTAAACTCCCTAGTGATCAAAATTTTCCTTAGCTTAACTATTTCAAATACTATTATGAAAAAAGCCCCATTAGCTCCTCTTCCTCCCTCAGCAGTCAGCACTGGTCCGGATCCCGTTCTCAGCTCCGGGGCACTGGGTCATGACCTTTCCATGTCTTCATATACAGAATGACAGCTGATGTCTCTTTATTAACCTTTCCACACAATAAATTCCTTAGTGTGACACTATCTTAAATAATATTTATGTCCTTCCTTATCTCCCCCCTCTGCCTCCCTCTAGCCCTAATTTCAACATTGCTCCTGGACATAAGAATTCTAAAATGATATTCCTTAAATGAATAAAGAAAAGGAATCCTTTTTAATTTATTTCAATGTCTGCACAAACACATCTGAGGCATTTCTCTTTTTCCTTGGTACTATAAACTATCTTTTGCTTTGGTACTATAAACCAAAAATATATTCTATTTTAATCCTATAGCTCCATTCTTGCTCCTAAATTTCCTCCAGACTCTATTCTGTTTTCACTACTTTGTACATAAACTCCCACTTTAACATAGCAATTCAGAATGATCTGACCAATGGGAAACTGTTGCATCCATAAAAAGGCTTCCCTTGATGAAGCTCCAGCCTCTGCTGTTACAGCCTCCTTTTTGTTACACTGCTCTTATCACCCTCTACTTCAATAATAGTTTATTTTAGTAGGGGTTGGGGATTTAGCTCAGGGCATAAGCACCTGCCTTGCAAGCACACAGTCATGAGTTCGAACCTTGGTACCATTAAAAAAAAAGTTTATTTTAGTTTGCTTCCTTTAGAAACAGATGATTAAATAATATGGCCTTCTACACAAAGTCATAAGTTTCCCCAGTCTATTTTGAGACCGTATCTATTCAGCTAATTTTTTGTTTTGTTTTTGAGACAGTGTCTTACTACATTCTTCAGGCTGGCCTTGAACTTATTACTTAGCAGAGGCTGGGCTTGAACTCAGTGATCCTCCTGCCTCAGCCTCCCAAACACTGTGATTATGCATGTCCCACCATGCCTGGTTTTTGCTACCTTTTTACCTGCAAGCATAATGCCCAGTGGAGGACACGTGCTTAAGAAAGTAATGCACTTAATATTGATGAATATCAAAATTTTATATGGTATACCTTGATTTTCTCAGTAAACAGGAAGATAAATTCCTTTGTTCTCTTTGGTTAAATGTTTATTTTTTTCTTAACGTTAAAAAAGTCTCATTTCTGGAATGTCAGTGTGCATATGGGGTTATAAAATGGACTGCTACACAAAAACTGTCCCATAAAGCTGATGATGAATGTGTACAAAATATGACAGGAAGTAAAGCATGGGGTAGAGGTCACTTAGCAAAGAAATCGCCAAGCAGAAGGAAGGAGTATCACGAAGAGTTTTATAAAACTCCCTTTGTAAAGGTGAAATTGATAGGGAATTGACTCTTGTTTATTTCTCACGATATCTTAGAGCAAAAAAAGTTTGAAATGGAGAGGCTTTGAAATAAAAGGAAGGTGAAAAGAATTGTGGTACCAAATTTTTATGCTGAAGTTCAGAGAGATGGTGGTTAGAGGTTTTGTAAGAAAGCACTGTAACATTCATCGAGAGTCAAGTTGAAATATAAGGTAACAATACTAAAACCAAAATTAACATGCTGGCTGGGTTTTTTTTGTTGTTGTTGTTATCATAAATTTCAAAAATGTACAAAAAGTATAGATGACAGCATAATGGGGCACCACGTACTCATCATTTAGTTTAAACAATGATCAATTCAAGGTCAATTTTGTCTCATCAAGATACGTGTTGAAAAAACACAAACTGAAGTCTGACAGGTACTTTCTTGGTAGACTCTGGAGTTCTCCATTTCAGGAAGGAAGATGTGCTAGCTACTTAATTGTGGCAGATTACTACTGGAGACAACTGTCCTCTGCCTAATATTGTTCTTCAAATACTGTACTGCCAGTATCTTGTCTTTATGCAATTTTATAAATATTAAAGGGTGATAGATTGAGTTATGTCTGTAGCCTAATGTGCTCAGATGCTGTATTTTAAAGGATTACATACTTTAGTCCTAAAAACTTTTTTGTGGTGTGCAATCAATCAGGCCACACCTGATCTACTGGTACCTCCAGAACAGGGGCATTTGCCATAAAATACTGGTAACAAAGTTGATGGGCCAACTTTGATGGGAGAAAGCACCTCCCTTGGGTGTTACAGTATCACTCTCAGCTAGTCAACCCTAGATGAAGAGGAAAGCTAGAATAGCTCCCACGCTTCTGCTAAAAGCAGGCCAGTACCGGCTGCTGTCGAAGGTATTTGGTGGAGCAGAAAAATGAGCCCTGGAATTTACAAGCCTTTGGATTAAAACCCCGGGTAAGTCATTTCTAATGGTGGACACTGGACCTTGCTCTTTCTTCTTTCTTTCTTTGGGCTCTTTGGGTGTATTCTGGAATTAGGACATTTGTTTTTTTACAAGCTTGAAATTCTGGAGGAACTATGGTACAAAAAAAATATAGTAAGAAGAATCACACGTATGTTAAGGAGCCAGGGTGTTTGAGAGGTCTCTACTGTAGTCTGTCTCTAACAATGGGGAATATTAAGTCTGCACTATCAGGGAACCCCCAGGGGAGTTCTGGCTGACTACAGTTATAAACTTTTGACTAAGAAAATGATGATTTATTATTGTAATATGGCATGTACCTGGACATACTCTCTGATATAATGCAATTAATTAGTGTGTTCTTATAGCTTGACTGTTAATTTGTGTTTCTGATATTGTTGATGTAATATAATTGTTTTATGTGGTTTGCTTATGCTAACTAACTTGACACAGACTAAAAGCAAATCTGATAACTGGCAGCAATGGTCCCATTGGATACTTAGCTAAATGAAGGTCTCCAGAACTCAAGAGAAGAATGGATGCTCTCTCTGGGTGACCCTGAGTGACTAGGGTATTAATAGAGGTATCAAGGTAACTGCCTTATGAAGTAGCAGAGGAAACCACCTCAGAAAACCACCCTGTTCCCAGGTTAGGAAGAAATCAGTTCATCTGGGAGGTACACACAAGGGTGTGGTCACCATATACTTTAAGCTACTTTACACCTTTTGGTGTTTGTAGCTTTCTAGTACACACATAAAAAAGAAAAAAGAGAATATCCAGCCTATTGGTGCTGCTTGGAGAAGGAATCCTTATAAGCAATACATTCTGACCAAAAATATCCCCCAGCATATATTTGCTTTAGCCAAGAGACAATTTAACAAATTTAATTCTAAAAACAGTTTTGCGGAAAACAATTCAAAACTCATTAAAATAAACTGTTCCAAAAGTTTTAAGGTAACTTAAAAGAAATAGAAAAAATGGAAACCCACTCCTTTCACTTCACGATTAAAGAAATAGTCTTTTTGGTGACCAGTAATCAGGATGTGGAGGCTGAAAGTCAGGGGAAAAGGGCTAAGAGAGTACACAAACCCTCACCCTCTAAGATCAGCCAGGACCCAGGGGATGACAGGGCACCTCAAAAGATTCTTGTAACTCGCTTGAGTCACCTTTTCTCCAAATCAGGGGGACTGTGGAGACGCCAGAGAGGAGTTAAGATGTACATATTCTACAAAGAGGAGGGTAGGTAGAAAGGGGCACATCCCCGACACTTCCAAGGAGAGTCCGCTGGTTAGCAAGACTGGCAGATGACACAATGATAGTGGGAAAAACTAAAGAAGCCAAGAAGCTACTAACAAGAACCAAAAGTAATCTGTGAAGAGCATGAATGGACCCTAACAGAGGAAAAAGAAAAGGCTGATTTTTTTCCCCCAAATGGGGGGTCTAGCTACTAGGTCCTAAATACCCAGTAGAGAAGTATAACCAAAGGCAAATGTGTTAATACAGGACAAAATAAATGCCATATATAGACAATTAGAAGAAAAAGACAACGGTTCTTTTAAATAGAACTCCAGATGTGAGCGGCACTTCAGGAATTCAATTGTCATTTTGTTCCCTTTTCTTGCAGTAGTTTACCAGCTGACAAGAAAACCTGCAAAGCCAGGTTGGCCAGCATCCTAATTCTTTCCAGGCCAAGAAATGGATGAGAATTACATAGGTAATCACTTACGAAGTATCCAACTGAAACTGTTAATACAGGTTTATTACCCCTGCTTTTATCTTACACAGCTCATCTTTATTCAATGCTAGGACACCAAGATGAGAGTAAAGTATTTTCAAGATTGCAGGGACTTTCAATTGTTCGCTTTTACAATATCCTGTTTCAGAAACCCTGGAATATCACTAGGTCATCAGTCACTGTGTTCTAAATTTTCAGTAACCTAGGATTCCAGAAAAAGCAAAGCCTTGTGCACAGATCCTCATGACAGAATTGAAGCTGGCCCCAAAATAAGAGCAATTATCTCATGGGAACTGGGCTGTCCCTTTCACGTAAGTCATAAGACCTGCTCCAAAGCCACCTCCCAGAACCAGTCCTGAGATAACGGTCAACAAGACTATGCCCTGACCAGGATTTCCTACTGTTATGGCTTATATCTAGATCTTCCCCCAAAGCCTTTGGGGCCTTTGGGAGGTGGCTGTATCATGAGTATGTGACAATGGATTTTCGCTGTGGATTAACTGGATTAATCCACTGATTAGTTTAGTGCAGTTACAGGAAATAATGGGAAAACCCACACCAGGTATGTGTGGCCCCAACCAACAGGTTTGTAGCCTTAATGTAATAAGAAGGGAAAGGAAGACTCGCTGTCTCACGACCTCCTACCAAGAACTATTTCTTCTCTGCCATTCTGCTCTGCCTTGGAACCAGCCAACTATGGACTTAAACCTCTACAAACTGTGTGTCAGGTATTTTGCCCCAACAATGAGAAAGCACTGTAAGTGGGACACCTACCCTCATGCAAATCCCTGAGCTATGCAAACCCTAACCCTTACTTTTGTTCACATTTTCCATAAAACCTTAAAGTTTGTTAGTCCCTCAATGATAGATCTTGAACCTGTTTACATGTCATTCCTGATATGGAAATGTTGATTAGAGCTCTTTTCCTGTCCTTTACCACTGTTCATCTGGTCTCTCTGATTGGCATTTTGGGATAGAATCTGGTCTGTGCAGACTCCCTGAGCTGAGCTTTCAAACTAAAACGCGAGCAATAGTTTTCTAGTGGAATTGCCACTAGAAAATACTCTATATTGACAAAATACTTACCAATATTAGCATAATGTTTCTTGTCTTGTGTGTTTGCAGACAGCTCAAACATGTCTCCATAAGCCCGAGCAAACCGCCACACAAATTCTATTTCATCTCTAAACTAAAAAGATAGAATTACACGTTAGGTTAAGTCGGTAACTTATCCAGACCACCCTTGTCTTTCACTATGCTTTTAAAAATTTGGGTGGAGATTTTTAAAGTTTTTAAAAATTTTATCAGCAGGCAACAATTGTACATCTTCATGGGACACCATGTAATGTTTTAGTACACGTATGTGGTATGTATTGATCAGCTCAGGATACTTAGGGTTTAGGCAACGCATTTGGTCTGGCTAAGTTCTCAAACAAAGGTTAATTTAAATTGTACATGGAGAAAAAAAGAGGCTTATTTCTTCCTGGGATATTTTCAGTCCCCATCACCTTTTAAAAATGGTGGTGGTAAAAAGAAAGGGCTTTTCAATTCAGGTCCAACAATAAACATTGCAAAATGACCACTGGTAGAAATAGCTTTACATACTAATGGCTGTCATACTGATAATAATTCCCCAGAGAAAATGCACTATATGCCTTGGCCTAATGTCTTATTCTTTATCAGTTATAAAATAAGTCTTAAGTATACAACATAATAAAAAATTAGATAAAATTAAAACCTATAAGGTTATAGGTTTGGCTCCTATTTTTGTTATCTTAAATGAGTCTGATTAGTTCTTATATTTACTTTTTAAAGAGTTTATCCATTTTACAGAACAATTTCACATCACTTACTTAGGTTATGTGATCATGATGCCATTTGTATGGTCATAATGTAAATGGGATAATAGATTAAGTGCATCCCCAAGCTGTTGTCAGGCCCTCTTACCTTTTCTTTGTGGTCACACAGTAGTTCAAAACTCTCCATCTTTCCAGACTCAGTCATGCGTAAATGGTCTGCCTTTTGAAGAAGGATATCTAACTTCAGTTCCTCTGTATGTGTGTTCAATGCCGTATGCACTGGAAAACTCTGTTCTTCTGTGTCAGTATTAGCTGTAATATACCTAAAATTGCAAAAGCAATTATCAACTCTTTTGAAAGCCATCCATAATGGGTAGAGTAGTCCTTTTAAAATGTCAGTAAAATTATGCCACTTTTATGCTTGAAACTGTCATGGTGCTGAATGCCACACAGAAAAGAAGACAGTCCACAACTATGCCAGTGATGGCAAACCTTTCAGTGCTTCAGTGATGCAAACATCCTGGTGTGGCACACATGCCACAGATTTGTTACCTCTGCTTAGGCAACTTGCTCTCCAACCCTAATACCTCTCTGACCTCATTTCTCACTATTAACATTCATTCAGGACAATCCAGACTCATACATGTTCCGTGAGCCTAATAAACACACTCCTGCTTGAGGGCCTTTACTTACTTTTCTTTCTGATGGAATGCTCTTCTCCTAGCCACGTAACCCATATCCTCACCTCCTTAGAGTCCTTGCACTAATGCCATTTTTTCAGTCTGGCCTATTGAGACATTTCTATTTAATACTGTAACCCCCACCCTCCCTTTCCCTGCAATCTCTCTTATCGTTCTTCACTTTTATCCCTACAGCATATATTGTCTTTTAATATGCCATCTAAATCAGTAACATACTACACATGCTGTTATTTTGCTAGTGTCCACTTCACTAGAATGCATGGTCCCTGATGGTAGAGTTTACTAATTGATGTATCAAGAACCCAGAACAGCACCTGGCATGAGGTACATATTCACTGACTAGAGCTGAATTGATAACTCAGAGTTATAGGAACTCACTGGTACTCAAAAATATGTGTGCATTTATTTGCACATATGTATTTAATTTTTAAAAATTAATATTATACTTCACACTCATTTTTGGTGGCATACAATGCAAACTATATTAAAACACTGCTTGTTCTAAAAACATTTTGAATTTATTTTATCTCTTAGAAAAAAACTTAGGAATTATTATTTCTGATCTTGGATTAGGTAAAAGTTGTCTTAGATATTAATACCACAAGCACAAGTGATAAAAAAAAAATAAATTCTATAAATACAAAAAACTTTTGTGTTCCAAAAATTCCACCAAGAACATGAAAAGATAATCCACAGGGCGGGATAAAATACAAATCACATACCTGGTAACAGACTAGATAATGAACCTTTACAATTTGATAAAAAACACAAATAACCAACTTAAAAATGCAATTCTGCAAACAAATGAAAATCACCAAATTACACTTTATCAGGGTGAACTTTAGAGTATAGAAATAATATTCAATAAAGCTGTTAACCTTTATAAAAATAAACACCTAAATAGTACTATAACCATTAAATAAATCAAATCAGAAATACATGTCTACTCTTTTTCTCCTTCCTCAGTTTGACTTATTCAAATTTTTCAATGAAATTAATAAAGAGGGAACACCCCTCAGTTCATTTTATAAAGGTGATTTAACTGATTATCAAAATCAAACACAGATATTATAATCAAACATTGAAGGTTAATCTCACACATAAAGATAACTACAAACATCCTCAATAAAATATCCACCAACAACTGCAACAAATATAAAAGAATACATCACAATCATATTGGATTTATTATGGGACTTGTAAGCACAGATGATGCTAAAAATTTCTCTAGCACAACAGATAAGAAAAACTATAGACATGTCAGGGGTCTTTAAAAATCTTTTGGTCAATAAATTCCTGTTTAACTTCAAGTCTAACAAACAAAAGCCCAACAACAAAAACACATGTAAACAAGAAGTAAAAGGGAGTTTCAAACTTGATAAAGGACTTATGCTAAAAACTAATACATGTTATACCTAAATTAACAAAGATTTATGATTAATTCTTGAAAATCAACTGTGCTTCTAGACTTTATAAAGCAAGTTAGAAAATGTAATTTTATATAATATAGGATTTATAATGGTAAGAAAAATATAAGTTAGCCTATGGAAAAAAATTCTAATGGCATATTTATGACATTTCTAGAGAAAAATTACAATGTATATCTAAAACATTAAATATTACTTTAGTAAGTAGAAAAATATCTATGCCCAGGGAAATTTAGCATTAAAACAATTTCATATGGTCCCAAGTTAATCTATAACTTTTAAAATACTTCTTAAGCAAAATCCTAGTGGGATTTTTCTATGGAGCTTACCTGACACCACAATTAATATGACAGAACAAGTATATGAAGAGTCAAGACAGTTTTGAAGAACAGATATCAGGCCCATAGAATAAAGGACTGCACTACAGAAATTAGGTCTACATGGTATGGGCAGAGTATTAAGCAAATTGCCCCCAAAAAACAAAAGAGAAGAATTAGGCTAGACTCTTTCTCACATTAAAAATACTTAAGTGTGAGAAAAATTGCTCTCCTACTTTGGACATAGATATTTATTTATAAATAGATCTCATAAAATGATGAGAAAGTTCTTAAAGCCAATATATTTATTTTGTCTTTTTCTTTTTCACCGGTACCAGGGATCGAACTCACGACTGCACACTTGGAAAGCAGGCGCTTATGCCGCTGAGCTAAATCCCCAGCCTCTGAAAACCAATTTTAAAAAATGGGGCATGTCCAAATATTAGAGAAAATGTAATTATACCTATTATATCTTTGAATTAAAGATTAGATGACTATTCTCTACCCACTCAGAAAAGGCATTTCATAGATTATCTGAACAGGGCAACTACAAATTTAAGATTTTTCCAATAGCCTTTTATCAAGTCTGGAGTTCACTTTATAATGTTTATTATAAACATTTCCCATGTGCTTTTCTGGTCCTATTTTTGTCTAATTTAAATAAGAACTTGTTGTAATCAGGGGTTACAAGGAGAACAATGACATACAGGACACTGAATTTATAATACTATTTTATAAATACAAGATACTAAATACAAGAAAGTGCAGGAAATCTGTCCACAACACTAAAGACTTAGAAAACTCATCCAAGGACCTGGATGGCACAGTAATGTCCTGTATGAATCCAGCTGAAGACCTACATCTCATGACAATGCCTCCTATGAGTCCAACTAGAGGCCTAGAGACCATGAGAAATGACTTGTCATAAGACTCTTGTCTTATGTATCTACACTAGGAAGGCCCAAAGGTCAGCGGTGGACGCCAGAAAGTCTATGTCACACTGTGCTAGTAGGTTGAGGATTCTACACTGGAGCCAAGCAGTGACACTCAAAATAAGTACTAGGGCTTCCCCAAAAAGTACCACAGCCATCCTTGGCCACAATGAGGTTCTGAGTTCCTGCAACGGTAAGAATGTCAAGTACAAATCAGTAAGCCAGTATGACAACTTCAGGAGATTAAGCAGCATACATTCATCTCTGGAGCCAGGAAACGATGTTCAGAGTAAGAACCAGAGCTCCTCTAAACTGAATTACAGCCACTCTCAGTGACAAGGTCCTGAGCTCCTCCAATGATAATAGCCAAATTCATATCGGGGAAGCTAGTCATGACAAGCTCCTCCAGAAGAATCAATGGCTCCAACACTACTTAAGAGAACCCATAATGCCTAACTTGCTCTCTGTCTCTCCTATGCTGGAAACTTTCCTTGGGTGGGCTATCTGCACTCAGCACCATGCCAATTTAATTCAACTGATATTAAGTTGATCGCCAGTTTTTAATCCATAACAGAACTGTAACGTGTTCCCTATCCAATTCTGCATGGTCAACAACTTGCTGGCACAGCAATAGTGACATCTCTGAAGGTATTGTTGAATTATTTATAAAGCCAATGCTATTTACTGTAAAAATAAAGTTGTCTATTTACAGAAGTTTATCAGTAGTGATTTTCATGGGAAGATGCTTATTTCCCCTCCAGAATACTGACGGTTCAATAACAGACTGACTGAAATAGCTTCATGGAAGATCCAGAAACTAGCCAAGGATTTATAGCAACCAAACAAATATCCAATAAATAAGACACATTTAAAATGGTTGCAAATGCCATGGTGTTTTGCTCACATTTGCCACATCACTTCTTTGGTGTGGTATGGCCAGGAGAAAGATGCTGGATGCCTGGCTTCTTGCTCAGAACACAAGGAAAAGAGCAGTCTTGTCTGCAATATTATGAAATATTTAGGTGCGTCCTGAACACTGGTTTCTGCTTTGCTTTACTCAGAGTCTTCAAGACAGAGGGGGATAGTTTAGGTATGTTGGAGGCTGCTGAAAGAGGTAATGGGCACTAGGACACACGCAAGGAACAGGGCACCTACAGACACACGAGTGTGCAGGTCTAACAAATCATAGGAATACAACAGAATATATTAACTGACCAAAAAGATGCAGGGGTGAGACTCTGAGGGAAATTAAAATAGTCATGTATATGGGGAAGAAGGAAGGGGTGGGAAGCACATACACCTGCAGGACCAGAAAAAAAATGCACGCTCAAAAAATATTTCCGACTTTAACCTTCCACACTAAGTTGATTCGTGAGGCTTTCTTTGTAGAGCCATTTTAAGCAAGACTTGGAGGGGTGGCTATTGTTTCATATTCCCTCCAAGGACACTGAGATCTGCCTGGAAGAGAGAGGGAGAGAGGGACTTTAAAGGCTGTGTAGAAGAGCCTGCGCCTTCAGGTGGCCCTGTAGTTGATGACACTGGCACGACAGATGAGACCATCGACTTGCAAGTAGCCAGTGCTGATGCTGAGGAACTGTGGAGAACACTCAGAGGAACTGTCACAGGGGAACTTCGGTAACTTCTGGCTGAGCAATAGGGAATGCAGCTGAGGAGCTTTCAGAAGAGGAGGAGAAATGTCAACAATCAGTACAGCATAATTCTTTTGAAATAAAGGAAATCTTTAAAAAAAAAATGGCCAGAGCTACAAACCTTTGTAGAGAAGACCCACCCAGAGACAGAAAAGGCCAATTGTTGCATTCACTTGCTTAAGGAAAATGTCATGTCATTCTACAGAATGGTGTTAAAGACAGAAGCGGACCACCTTAGACTGATTTTTAGTTCTGAAAGTTGAGAGCTAGTGAGCCAAAGCAGGTCTTGGTGCGCTA